AAAAAAAAATCTATCTAATCTATCTAATCTATCTATCCATCCACCCATCCATCCATCTAATCTATCCATCCATCCATCCATCTAGCTCAACAAGACTCTTGCACACACACGTGCACGCCTGCCCTGAGCCACATGCACACAAAGGCCACACAAACACTGAAGAGTCAGCACCGCCAAGTGGCCAAGCAGGGAACTTCTTATTCTGCAGGAAACCTACATTCACCTTACTGAAAGTCAAGTTCTGGTTCGCCCAGAACTGCTGGTTCCATGCTTGCGTTTCTTGTCTCAGCTCCCTGAGCTTTCGTTCCAATGATGATTCGTGTTCAGGGATGTAGAAGTGAACGGGGCGGAGGTTGGAATGTTTATCTGGGGGTCCAATCCAGTCATGGCGAGATTTTCTTGGAGGGCAGAATCTTGAGGCCTGGAAAGAAATTCATGGGATTAGCATGCTGCTCATCAAGCCTGTGGTATTTATCATACAGTTAACAACTTGCACTGTTCCACAGTGGTTTCTTCTCTAAGATGTGACTGCACCCAGGGGATTTCCAAACTGAAAGAACCGTAATATTAACGCCAACACCACACTGTGTCCATGGATGGTGCTGGAGCAGCCCTACATCCCTGTGAGGAGGAAGAGGAGCAGCAGCACGTGCAGCCTGCACCATGCACCACATACAAAAGAACTTACTTGAGGGGCTGGAGAGATGGCTCAGTGGTCTAAAGCACCTACTTGAAACAAGCTTGGCAAAGCACAGGGACCTCGGTTCCATCCCCCAGCACCACATGCCAGCCAGCCCCGCCCCCTGGTGGGCTGAGCTGGACACACACACACACACACACACACACACACTAAATAAATGTAATAAATAAAAATAAATAAATATTTAAAAAAAAAAAAAAGAACTTACTTGAGATGGGCCATGGACTATAAAAACCAGGGGCTTGCGGGTTCGCAAAGTTGCTTAAGTGCCTGCTGGGGCAAACCCAGTCAGGCGCAGGGACCATGGTTCGATCCCCAGTTCCCAGTGCCTCAGCAGACCCATCCTTAATGCAGCCTGAGCCAGCCCCCCACACCCAACGCAAAAAAAAAAAAAAAAATCTAAAAGGAAGGGACCAGGGAGATGGCTCAGCGGAATAAGCGCTTCCCTAGCAAGCACAAGGGCCTGAGTTCAATCCCTGGTTCCGCCAAAAAAAACAAAACAAAACAAAACACCTAAAAGGAAACATGGCAGATGTGCGTGAGAATACCCATCCAGGCACACGCGGGTGTGTGTGTGAGGGGTGAGCCCTGCAGCACTCTGCTGAGCTACACCTGCAGTGCTCTCCCTCACCGACATCTTGCTAAATTGTGCAGGCTGGGCTTGAACTTGCAATCCTCCTGCCTCAGTCTCCTAAGTAGCTGGGTTACAGAGCTCTGTTACAAGAGAAAATTTTTGCAACCTTAATCAAAGATGTGTTACGTTAGGCAAAAATCAATTAATTGGCCTTCACCAAAGCTAAAATTTTGGTCTTCTAAGACCACTCTCAGGGGCTGGGGAGACGGCTCCGTGGAATAAGCGCTTCCCTGGCAAGCGCAAGGGCCTGAGTTCAATCCCCCGTTCCACAAAAAAAAAAAAAAAAAAAAAGACCACTCTCAAGGTAACAGGAAGATGAGCTATAAACTAGGTAAAAATACATTCATGGCTGGGAAGAGTATGTTCTCAGAAAACAGAACTCTTAAAAGTCAAAAATAAGAGAAAAAAAAAAGAACAAAATCCCGTAACCCAGGACTTGGGAGGCTGAGGCACAAGGGTAGGTGCAAGTCTGGGACCAAAATACGAATAAAAATTTAAAGACCTTCAGATGACTGACAAACACACAAGGCCACTCTTACCACCCTGTCACCAGGGAAACCAGGGCCAAATCACCACTGTACCTGTCCAAATGGTGGACACAGAACTGGTTGTGGTGGCGCTCACTTGCCATCCCAGCACTTAGGGGGCCGAGACCGGAGGGAGGATCAGTGCAAGTTCAAGACCAGCCTGAGCTGCATAGCAAGACCCTGTCTCAAAAAGACATTAAAAAAAAAAAAAAAAGACAGAAGAGGAAGAAGACAGCAAGCACATATTTTTCTTTCTTTTTTGGCCCGAATGCCTGCAGGGCAGGTTTGGCTGGCTTGAGTTGTGGGGATCGAACCACAGCAACCTGAGCTTGACTGCTTTCTCTTTTTTTGGTGGAACCGGGGATTGAACTCAGGACCTTGGCCTTGCCAGGCAAGCACTTATTCTACTGAGCCATCTCCCCAGCCCCTGACTGCTTCTTTGAAGCAGCCACTTAAAGAACTGAGCTAAGGGGCAGGCCCCC